GAGAGAGAGAGAGACAGAGAAACACATATTGTGATGGAAAGACAGATAGAGGAGACGCGCAGACAGACGGAGATGTAGAGAAGTATACAGGGGAAGTATGATAGTATTAACTTGTGTTGTTGCTGCTTTGGGTTACCAGCATTTCAAATTCCTCGTGTTCAAGTTCATGCCTTGCATTCTCAGCTGTTCTTCGCCATGCACCTGAATCGTTTCTGCCAAAACCCGAGAGTATATATCGTACTGACGCCTGTGCAACTTGGCCCGAGTGCCCTGAGCCTCAATCAGCCCTCGATCCGAGTTTGAAGTCTTGCCGGCGTTTGCAGGACAGCTACCTGGATCTGCTGGAGATGCGAGGTTTGTTTCAGACTTTGGGGCTGGAGCTGAGGCTTGTCTCCAAAAGCCAGCAGCAGACCACCGAAGCCCCTGTTTTGCGGGACTTCTTCTTTGGATCTTTACATTCGGTGGTTGGGCTCGTGTTTTATGCGCCGGCGTGAGCTGGTGCTCAGGTTTCTTCATGTTTGGTTGTGGCTGAGGGTTTTTGCCAGGCACGAGGCTTTCAGTGTCCTTCTGCCCTCAGACTCCGTCATTCATACAAATTAGTCAGCAAGTTGCAGCCAATAACTGGGAGGATGGGGGGTGCGTTTCAGTGTGACACTGCGACGTGGCGCTCCAGATAACTCTCGTTACACAGCGCTTTTGCGATTAGCAGTGCCGGACATGGAACTCATGACGTGGTTCGCACACGGCAGTTTGTGAAGAATGGCATAGATGCCAACAGGCACCGCCGACACGACATGCAAGTCAGAAACCAGAGCATTGACGGCAAGATTGAGTTTTGCAGTCTAGAACCAAGCATCTGCAGGACCCACTCCGAAGAACCTTACGGCACCTCTGGGCAAACCCAGGACGCCACGCTCACTTTTCGAGGCAGTCTCCTTCCACCATCTGGGCGCGTCTTAGCTTCTTCAAGCTTAGTGTTTTTCGTTAAGTGTCGCGTTGGCATTTCCTTCCATGTTTGGCAGCTTAGGCTTTCATGGATTCCGCGGGCGTGTAATTTGGTGGCTGGAGGTTTGCAAATTAGAGTTTCGAAACTTATATTATGTTAAGCAGAGCTTGTTAATCATGTGCCCGTCGTTGAGGCTCTGCAAGTACTTATAGTCTTTCATTGGTGGTGAGGCCTGTTGTTCACGGTGATGCCACTGTAGTCAGTAGCCATCCCGGTATAATCAGACTGTCTTCGAGAACTTGCCACTACTGGTCACACGAGGATCATGAGGAGGAAGGCATCACAAGCTAGACAAGCTCTTGGCGCCTCCTACTTCGGACACGCTGCCCAATCGGGGGAGATTGAATCAATGCGGAAACTGCATTGGTTTTCCTGCGGTTACCCCCACCCCCCCCCCCCCCACACACAACGGGCAGGATTGGTTCGATGATGCACAGACGAGGGTTTCATTAGTTTGTCTTCAAGCTGCTTCCTCCAGGGTTTAGACCCATTGCAAAATCAAAATGCAATGTGCAAAGCCTACAACTCTGATATGCTACACAAGCTAGGTCCCAGAGGTTTCAAAACCAGGAACTAAGCGCTAACGATCATTCGGCACTCAGCGAATTTCCTAATTTTTGCGGCGTGTGAGTATCTGGTTTTTGTTTTGTGAATCTGAGCCTTGGCCTCAGGAAACATTCTCGCACTCTGACTTCCTGCTGATCTTGGAGTATCTCCGTGACACGGAAGGCAATTCCCCCTTCAATTCCAGTGAGCACTGCATTTATTTTTTGTGTTTTTGTGCTGTCACGATATGGGGGCTCGGTGCTGTTTGATCTTTAGCCATGGAGCTGTCAGCAAGCACTTGGCACTCTTCTGGTCCAGAAGCACTCGAGCCTCACTCGACAGCCTCCATCTCCTCTGTGGCTGCCCGGCGTAGGATCTCCTTATAGTTTCGTTCCGTTTGTCACACCACGACCCAAAGCGGGCAATTATAACAGAAGGTCCTAGCTTTCCCGGTGTCATGTACGCGGAGCTTTCAGAACACTAGTTTTCTTTTCGTGGGTTCGAAAACAAGACCCGGAGTGTGAAGGACTCTGCGAGGACAGCTGGTCGGAAGCTCGAGGACCGGTCCGGTTTCAGTCCTTCGGGCGCTTGGAACAGACTCCTCGCCTAATGTAGGAGCCGTCATGGGTAGAATGAGTTTCTCTAGCTCCGATGGTAAGATTGCGTGCTGCAGTCTAGCAAACATATATGGGGACTCGGTGGGAAGCCGGAAGAATGCTACGAATTGTTCAGGCACACCCAAAACGCTTGATGTAAGTGTTATGTGATTACGGGTTTTATGTCGGAACTAGCTACAAATCAAACGAGCGTGTGGCCAGCCGAACCTAAAAGAATCGACTCGCATGCCATTTCTGACTTGAGGTCTCAGCCTCAAGCTGTCCTTCGACCGTCATTTCGTCTCCGGTCTGTTTGGCTTAGCTCGTGGCGGTGTTTGTTGTGGGGGAGTGGGATGTGCCTCTGTAGCGGCTGAAGGTGGGTTTGCAAAGGGGGACACTTCATCGGGGCATGCAGATCCTTTCGTGGATGGCACTATCGAGTACTCATTCGAAGGATGGCTTTCAGCCCTCCAAATCTCACTCCCTCGACCTTGAACGGAGCGAAACGGTCCGGTGAAATTGCAACGGCTTGTTGTCATGCTTGGCGGCAGCATCTCTGTGCACCCCTCTATCACAGTTCCCATTTTGCTGGATCTATGAAGCATAAACCACTATGCTGCTTTGATATGGAACGGCTAGGCTTCGCAAGGATTTAACTGGTTCTTGTGCTGCCCATGCTGAGCGCGAGGTTTTGAGCGTCTGGGGTTTCGCAACTATAACATGGTTGCAGATTTGCTATGCTCACGGCCGGAAAGGATCCTTCTACCATTTCGACGTGCATAGCGATGGCTTCATCTCGACGCGCCGCGCGCAGAGCGCATTGGCCACATGCCAGCAGTGTTGTGTTCTTTTGTATCTGCACCCTCTGAACCCCAGATTTCGTGAGTTGGTGACAAGGTCTTACTTGTAATTACAGTATACCTTTGCTGGCTGGCGTCTCAGTGTCAGGAGGGCTCAGAGTTCCTCGAAGTGGAGTGCAGGTACTGTTTGGACACACAGCAGCCTGCCCCAGTAGCATCTAGTCATGCGCCCTTCAAAATTTCAGAATGCTGGCATTCCCCAAGAAGGGCGACATTTGCTAAAACGGAAGCCGCAAAATGTGCCTCCGACTGTAACCCTGTTCAGAAGCCGGTTCACATGATTTAAGATGTGAGTCTCCCAGAACCCACGGCCCATTGCCTAGAGTGTTTAGGGATGTTTGGGGTTTGGGCTTCTAAAGTCTATTCTATGGTTGGCTGCCACAACCCTTCATCAACAAGATGTTCATGGGGAAGTCCACAGCACGCGTGCGCAGAGTCTGTTGTTTTTTGTAAGTAGTGATTCGAAGTCTGAGTTCTGAACCGTTCAACAGATGACTCCAAAGAGCCCGAGTGGTCTCGGCAGTTGTCGGTGCTTCTGCGGCGGACATCGTGACAAGACAGAGTCATGCAGCCGCTTCTTATCAAAACTCAAACGAGGGCTAAGTAGAAATTGGCGAAACCACGGATGTTACATGTACGTATGATTATATTTTGCCCCCACCCTCTGCTGAACCCGAGCCCCACAGCCACACATCCAAGTTCGCAGAAACCATCTCAGAACCCCAGGAGTGGAATGGCTTCCATTTGGGCATGAGTGTTTACAGCTCCAAGACTGACTGGAAGGATCGCCTGACCAGGAGCAAGGCGGGGCTGTCGTTTTGGAAGACGGGCGCTGAGGATTCTTGAAATGTTGAGCCTAGGGCCTAGAGCCTACCTGTAGGCTCATAACCTACCCCTTTCTTAGGGCTTTTTTTTTATTGCCAATCCTAACCATAAAACTAGGTACACTAAAAAACAAGGATAGGGTACGAGCCTCTAGGTAGAGGCACAGTTGACCTGGGGTTCTATAGGAGTTTCAGGGATTCTAGGTTCGGCGCATTGGCTTTAGCTGGTCCGGCCGAAAGCATTGGGTCCTAAAGCGCACGACTTGTCTTAACGACGAAGGCGTTGCCATGGCAGCTGCGACATTGACGAAAACGACGACCATGGGTTTTCCTCACTCAAGTTTACAGTTTGTTCTGTAGTCGCTTCCGGGATTATTTCTCGTTGCATATTAAGGAAGAGGGAGTTGCTTAGTCCTGCTGCCGTGCTGCCCGACTCTTCTGCAAGGACGCGGGATGAAGGTTTAAGCTGGGTCCCCGTATGTTTCATGACACCCCAGAGTACAAAACCTCAGGGGTCCTTAATTTGAATACGAACCCGACCTTTTCGGTTCCAACTTAAAATCCCTCATGGACTTGTACAATCGGCATGCATTTGTCTACAACCAAAGCATGGTCCTGGACCTCTCGGGCCGACGGAACTCCACGCCTTGGCCTTGGCAAGGTCGGTGAGGCGGAGTTTTTGCGCATCTGCCGGGAGCAGGAAGAGGCCGAGACAAGGAGCCTTGCTGTTCTGCAGTTTAGGCTTTCCAACAAAATGTCTATCGTTGGCGATTTGTCTAGCACTTCGGTTTAGTTGGAAGTTGCAAAGATTGTGAGACTGTTGGGCACTCGTTTTGATTCGCACGAGGCTAGTTTCGGTAGCAGTTGCAATGTTCTTCAAAGTCGATGTTAATGGGTTAATTCCAGGTTGCAATTTAGAAGGCACCAGGCCTGTTGAGTAATTTGTAATGTTAAATCATGTCGATTGCGCGGAATGCCGCAAGACATAGGACCTTCAGCTGCTATGCATTTACAGCTAAGAGCCCGGGCCCGCTCTGCCAGCTCTGAACGACCCGCGTGCTCTTGGCACAGATGCTCGAACAACTTGTGCCACTGGCCCCACCTAACCTCAGCATCTCAACCACAACCCGAAACTTGAAACCCTGTCTATTACAATGGCTTTTGGTCACAAGTCCCGACAGACCCCAATACTCGAGAAGGCTTCAACCCGGAACGCCAAACCTGAGCGTTTTTTGAATCTCCACATCTTCAACCCAAGGATCGCACGGACCGTCTTCCGGAAGTATGCGGAGAAGGGTGGAGCAGGGCCACTACGGAGAGAAAAGCTTCAGCTCGCGCTGAAAATGGCCCCTGGTCTCTGTTATTCAAGGATTCTTGTTCTTGGGGCTGCTATAGAGGGGTTGAGGATTTGGGAGTTAGGCTTGTAGATCTTCGTAGTCTCGTGAGTGTACAAATATGTTGAGTGCTTGTGCGAGAGAGCTGGGGTTCCTCGTTGTCGGAATCTAGGTTGGCGCGATTTCACAACATTCAGGCCACAGCAATCCCAACCAATACCCCTCCACCCAGACGTGCAAGCCGCTTGAAACCGGAGCCCCGAAGTTTCGAAGCTGTCTCAGGATCTCAGGAACTCTGAACACCAGACCTTTTTGAGGTGAATGTCCGGTACACATCGTTCTTTACCGACTGGTTGAAGAAGACCACTGAGTTGCCGGGGCAGTTGGCTTCTTGACTACATGGTCAAGGGTTTTGATTTTTTTAGTAGCGGCACCTTAGACACGGTTTTCCTTTGGATACTTTGTGGCATCGATCCGAGCTACATGTTGGGTGCGTGTGCTGGTGCAGTCTTACATGCACGCATCTGTTTGCACCATGGTGTAAGCATGTGTTATTACAACATGGCTGGACACTTCGTGCTTGCACATAGGGATTACAGTCAATTTGCCTCTACCTTCTTTTTGTAGAAGAGCCTGTAACTGCATGTGTGTACGTATATATGCATATGTAGCTTTGCCGAATTGCCACCGCACCGGCCAGGGTAAGGAAGATTCAGCAGAGGCCCGGTGCAGAAACAGACGATCTGAGTTTACTCTGCTGTCGGCCACACCTTCATACACGGGAGTGCACGATGTCTAGCTCTGGTCAGCCTCGATTCGATTCGTTGTCGTAGCTTGCCATGAAAATGAAACTTGGAAGGCGTGCGCTCTTTCGCAATCACAGATTTGATGTCAGCAAGGCTTCCATCTGCTATTTTGCCTTCACCCGATGCACAACCGTGCTGTCGTGTGTTTCATGTGCTGCACCATATCGGTATATGTATATAATTTATATAATCTGTATATATTCAAGTGCAGGTTTATGTAATGCCCGTCTCTGTCGTCATGCCGGATTGTGCGAGATGCCACACTCTGCCCAGAGCTGCCGATGGCGACGGCCCAGGATGCGGGGACAGCTTGCCTGAGAAATTGTAAAGCAAGTCAGCGTTCCAGAGGGTGGCAGTGTAGCTGCCCGCCTCGCCGGGCATGCAGCTAACAAGTTTCGCTGCTGGGGGGAGCCAGACTAGCCGAACACGTCCACTAGGCTCGCACAAAGAGTGGCGCGCAGGGCAACGAGACATAATGGAATCTTGTCCTTTCGATGCTTTGCCCAAAGCCTCGCGCAACACAGATTTTCCACAGTGAACGAACAAGGGGGCATTATCAGCAAACTACAGTGCTTGTAAAACCGTTGGCGGGTGCTGCACCCTGCACTCCACTTCTCCAAAGATCTGCTTCGCAGATGGGACAATGGATTGCACCAGATCCGGCCACCTATGAAAACTCTGCTTGCAGAACGAGGCTTTTCGTCGTGCTCTGTTTACTTTCGTGACCTCGCGGTTTTCGGATAGCTCTCTTGGGATGGCGAATGGTGAAGACTTCTGGGCATTGTAAGGGGTAGTTGAGGCCCCATGCCGTGAACATGCAGCCTCGCATTGTCGGAACGAGTACGCGTAGGGCTCGGCAGCTTCTTGGATGCCGATGTCAGTTAGTTAGCTGCCAGCGTTGTCGCCGGATGTCGACTTTGATCTCATTAAACAAGTCCCGTTATGCCCTACCCCAGCTGCCTTTCTCCCTGTCAGAAACAATCACAACAGGCTTTCAACCCTGGGAAAATGCAAACATTACGTATCACATAACCGTTTGCGTATCCGCGGACGAAATGCAAGAGTTTGGCTCCTTGCCTCCAGTCATCGGAGGATTTCGAGGATTTTCGCGACATCGTCGCAAGCTTCCGGCAGATGAATCGGGATGCCTACCGAGCGCACAGCCGCTTTACACAGAAGGCCCATGGGGCAGCGGGAATTTGGAGTTGGTCCCCACTTACGGGGTTTGAGGTCTGCGGCCTGTGTAAAGAGCAGCTATGTAGAGCTGCAGATCTCGACTCAAGTCTTTTCGGGCTCAGGTTTGGGCAGATGAAACCTTGTTTCGTGTTTTGTGCGGTGTCCCTGGAGACGCACCTCACATGTGAGTATTCGGCAGCTAGCAGCGTCAGAAGGGGGACTTAAAGCGATTGGAATGCCTTTAGTTGGGAATCGTCTAACTACAGACCAGCACCGCAAATCTGCAGCCAATGAGAGCCGCCGAGTCCTCTGAATGGTTGCCCCCTTAACGACTGAATGCCCAACACGCTCCACTAAGGCCCGAAGTAGGGACCCCAACAGGTTCGAGGTCTGAGGCCCAGCTTGAAAGTTGTTGGTATTGGGCTTGAAACTACAAACGCTATTGGTATGCGGTGCTCGAGCCCGAAGGGACCTGCAAATTGTTCAAGCTCCATGTCCGTTGGGTCGTTTATGCTTGCAGCTTCGGGAATTGTGTTTTGTCGGTGCGTTGGTCTTGAGATGTGTCAGGAGGTCAACTCCCTGGACGACTGCTTCCGGAAACTGGGACCCGATCGCAACGGGAAGCTGCTCCATGGCAAGGCCGGGCAAGGTCTGGGTAGACTGGACAGTGACGAGACAGGAATGTAATGATCGAACAACTCGTCTCGGGGTTCTGGCCTTTGCTGTGACCAAGAGTGTTCCCAAACATCCCGAAAGTCGATCTGACTGCTGTGAAAAGGGGCGGTGCTGTTTACGGCTGTCGATTTGGGCGTTGCAGCGACAGGTGTAGAAGTAACCATAGGTGGTATAGAGTCTAGAGTGCAAGATGATAAAGCTCCCAGTGGTGAAGATCGTTTGGCCTTGGACCTTGAGCGACTGCTGCAGGGTTATGTCGAGAGCTGCAAGTTCTGGCTTCATGTTTAGGGGTTTCGATGCGATTGATTCACAAACCCCGAATGCTCAACCCTGCAACCTCTCTCCACATCCCGAAACTGAGACCGACGATCTGCAAGCACGAACCCTCCAACCTGAAGCCAGAAGCTCCTCCGAGCTTGAAATCGGGATTCCAGCAAGCATAGGCCCTTGTACAGAATCTTAGAGATAGCCCAATCCTCATAAGCACCCAACAGGCCCAAAAGACAACCGAACCGAACCCCAAAACGCTAAAGCAGACAATTCAATTCGACGAAAAGCAGAGGTCGCAGAGCTCTTCGAGTCGCTCTATCCCGCGCTCAAGCGGGGGGGGGGCGGGGGAGCTTTTTCTCTCGTTTCGGGATTTGTGGTTTCAGGGGGTTTCGGTTGGGTCTTGTGATTGGTTTTTGTACATTTTGGGGTGTCTTTCGGGTTTACGTTTCGACACGGAGGTTGAATGTTAAAGTTTGGCAAAGACCAGCACAGGTGTTAACATGGAAATATGGATTGTCAGCTCAGAGCAACACCTGCACCATGCAACATGCAAGAACTAGCGGGCCTCAACGGCGGAGAGCCTACGGCCTACCTGATCATCTGAGATCAGATCGGTCCCACAAGGTATCAATCAACATCCTCCAGCTGATTGGTATGCGCATTTCTGCCATCGGCTCGTGGAAAACAGTATTAGGAGTACGAGGGATTTTTGTCGGCAGCTTCGGCCCATCGAGCCGTTGGTGTAGGTGGGACCCAAAGCTACGGGAGACGATGCGCAACTCGTTGAAGCTCCTTGGTCGACGATTCTTACTGGTTCGTGTGGAGGCTCCTTAGGCCCACCCCAACGACCACCATGACAAATTTGGCTGTGATGACTGTGTGAGGAGCCATCGGTTGTTTGTTCGGTATCAGGGTTTATGCGGGCTGGGTTGAAGACGAACTACGGATGCACTCCCTGACCCGGCATTTCACTAACTCATTAAATGCCGGCCGAAGCCCACAAACCCACGTCAGGCTTTTGCCAGCTACTGCTCACATTTGGGCAGCCCAAACCCGAAGTCTGAAGGGGGTGTACTAGGAAACTTCATATTCGAACTACCCCTAAGGCCCTAAGGGTTCGGATGTCCTGGGCCTGCTGCACTGGACGTCTCGCGCATGGGATGGCGAGCCTCCTCTGATAGCACAGGATGTAGTCTCGGACTCCAGTCAAGTTTCAGTATGTAGAGGCTGCAGAATAGCTCGCTTCCTCCGAAGTTCGGAACTGCCTAGGGTCTCTTGGGGCGTTCGACCTCAATAAGCCTTCAGAGTCTGCATCGCTTGGGGGATTCAGGTCTTCTAGGATTCACACCGTTCACACCACAGAACACAGTGAGCAAAGGCTCCATTCTGCGACATCGAAGCCCTTGAGCCTTGACGGCTTCTTGGAGGTGGGCTTTGGGTGTTTGGGGGTTTGGGCTTGTGCTGCGTTCTGCTCTTCATTCGGGTGTTGGCAGGATTTAGGTTCGAGTGCGTCAGTTAAGTCTTGGACGAAATGGACCCTCAGAGCAAGGTGCCAAATTCTGACCGTATTTGGTCATATTGCCGATCCTGAAAGGGTCATGGGTCCTTTTTGGGTTAAGTGACGGTGTGGTTTGTCCAAGCCGAGACTTGCGGATGAGTCCTGACACTGCCTTCAATCACTTTGGACCTTTGGTATTATTTCGGATGACTTCTATAGGTTTCCTCAGACAAGGCAGGTCTCTTCTGCTTGCCTTGGGTGCGGGCTTGAAGCCTGGATTCAACATCTGCCCTGCTGTTGTGGTACCCGTGTCTTTTTTCAACGGTGGCTCCGGGAGAACCAATCTGCCAGGTGTGGAACGGTTGGCTAACCTTTACACTGCAGTCACGGCTTTTGTTGAACACTGTGCGGGCTTCAAGAAAGTTACATCAAGCTTTGCAGAATGGAGCCGGGGGGCTTCGCTGTCTGGGGAGTAAAGGGGCTTTTTCTGAATATTACACTTAAGTCACTTAAGGTTATTGGCACTGATCAGTTTTTATTACGCTAGGAGGGCACCAGTGGTAAACCTCAAGACGTAAACTCTCGAAGCACAATCCAGAAAACTGTGGCCGCCTCAGCCAGTACGAAACCTGAGCCCAAGCCACAAAAGAAGCTTCAATGACAAGTCTTCCTAAACCCCAAGCTCAACCCGAACTCCAACTGCGTTGTTTGCCCAAGGTGCTTCGGACATTCGAGGTCCGGTGGGGCTCGGTTGAGTGCTCCAACAAGTGCTGCTAGTGCCTACTGCTAATAAGACACATACACTGCCTTGCTTTGGGTGCAAGTTCACCGTCATCACTATGATGTCCAGTATAAGACGCTTGACATTCCTAGCGTGCTGCTTTGGTCGGCTTGCTTGCATTGGCTTCTGGGTGCTTGTTGCTGCGGCCTTTGGCTTTTCGGACAGAAGCTGCTCTCGGCTTTGGTGGTGAATAGGTTTTGGGGTTGAACTTAGGATTCTGCAGCAAGACCGACATGTGCAGTGATGAATGATAGCTCTTGTACACCAAAGCCTTTCGGCTTTTAGGCGGCCACCTTCTTGGAGCTGAACTCGTTCTCTTTAGCCACGGCCGGAGCACGGAGTTCCACTAGGAAAAGGGAGCACAGCGCTCCTGAGTTCACGCGATTGTGTTTTACCGTCTGCGATTGTGTTGAGCCCAAACAGCTACCAGTGCAGTTCTGCTGCATTGGTAGCGGGGCTGCCTGATCCTGGGCCTTCCTCGAATTTCCCGAGGAACTTCGAAGTGGAAACGGATTTCAAGAGGCTTACCAGAGATCCCCTGAACTGCCTTGGGCCGAGTGTGCTACCTCTGGAAGGCTCCCGCAGCTTGTGATTTTCTCCGAGTTTTCCTTTGTGATTTGCACAGTGCCCTGTTTTCATCCTCATGGCTGATACCAGGGAAAGCTCTCACATCCTTGCTTGGGACGGAGCGGCACGCTCCTGGAGGCACTACACGATAGAGGTGGCATGGCTTGTGCAGTCCACGCCGGTGCGCAAGAGGCACTATTGATACTGCGCGAGCAGGAATGAGCGCTCAAGTGGACTTACGTCCAAACCTATTCTCAACCCAGCAAACGGCGACGAAATCTGTAGTCACCTGAGCTGTACAAAGTCCTTCTCAAATTGAGTGAACTACATATCTTGAAACAAACGAGAGCGTGTGCATAACTTCCTTGCGTTAGACACACAACGTTTCTCTAAGAGAATGTCTGGGCCGTTAGGGGAACCTCGGACATGTACAGCCCTGCACCACCCCTTAGGACCCACAACCTCAGCCGGCATGGCTCCGGCACACAAGCATGGCTTCTAACCTGCACTGATGCACAGTCACTCCCCCAAATGGAGAGTCCATTTCTATACCTGTACCATCTAGTGTCGGTCTACGGGATCTCTTTCAGCGCCAGCGACAGCATCTACACAGCTTTCGATAATCGACTTCTTCACGTTTCGCCAGAGCTTGACAGGTTCTTTGATCATGCACGTACTGGCCAGATTTTGTAAAATACACAACTCGATCCGACCGATCTTGGCCCCTATGCCTAGTTGGTAATCCATCCTCCCTGAAGCAAAGACGACACAAACTTCGCTGGATCGCTGCACCTGCACTCTGCATCGGCCTGCAACCACATGTGCTGTGCAAGCAGCCTCCATTCGGAGTCAAGTACACGAGAGGTCCTCCCTTCTCTTTAAGGTCCTACCCTGGTCTAAACCTTTAGGGGGGCCTACAGGGTTTGCCTCCTCCTGAGAAGACTCTTTGATGTTCCTTCGCCTAGCACCTTCGCACGGCAGTCCTGAAATCCTTTCTTCAGCATTTACAGCACTATGCAAACTACCACCTGAACCCAGGATTTCATTCCTAACCGTCACATGAACCACTGGAGACAACTGAAGATGAGCGTCCCTTCGACTTTCACCCTCAACTTTCTCTTCATCCTCACTTCTGCCGCCACCCAGTCTAGGAGTCGCAGGGTCAAAGGAAGTCGACTCACTGATCCCCTTAGGTTCATACGCCCTCTTTCGCATACACATCCATGTGCTGGCAACTCCGATCATGCGAAACAGTGCAGCTACCAGGCCAAGCAGTACAAACAGTTCCCATGAACCGTCACTGTCGCCTTCAATGCTTCGACGGGCCTGTGCAGAGCCTACAGAAGCAGCAATGTTCGCTGCAGCTACGCTACGACCACCCGCTCTGGAACTACCAGACCCTGAACTATGACCCCGAGGCATGCCTGAGTCTGTGCTCCATTCCCCGACAGAAGAATGCCCTTCCTCTGTTTCAGAACACACCACACTGTCATTGTGTCGAACTCCTCAGGTCCTTGCATATACATCATCTCCACAGGGTAGTCTGGGGGTCTAGGTACTGTTGGTACAGTTGCACGCTGAAGGATGTCCTCAGGCACGCCAGTATCACGAGCACACGATCCTACAGCAGCAACTCCCAGAGGCGCCAAACCTTCCTGCGACCCGCCTAAACCCGCAAACCCTTGAGAACTAGATTCACTCAACACCCTCAACTGCGCGGCTTGGTCAGACAGCTCATGAATCCGAGGCTGTTCCTGATAGATCATGTCATACACCAGTTGCAGCGCCCTGGTATCATCAGGTCCTGGAGCATTTCCTTCAGATTGAACTGGAAAGGGATCGTCATGCTCCCCCAGTCCCAACCCACCCCCGACGCTCAACTCCTCGGTTTGGACCCCATCTTCTACACAGCTGACTTTCACGACCGTTTTTTCGACAGGCACTGGATTCCTACGAAAGCACTGCTCAATCCAACCCCCAAGTTTAGCAGCAAGCCACCAACCACACCCTAAACCAAATCCTGCAACAATGCTTTGAAGCAAGAGCCCAAGTGGACTTACGTCCAAATCTTTTCTCAACCCAGCAAACAACGACGAAATCTGTAGTCACCTGAGCTGTACAAAGTCCTTCTCAAATTGAGTGAACTACATATCTTGAAACAAACGAGAGCGTGTGCATAACTTCCTTGCGTTAGACACACAACGTTTCTCTAAGAGAATGTCTGGGCCGTTAGGGGAACCTCGGACATGTACAGCCCTGCACCACCCCTTAGGACCACAACCTCAGCCTGCATGGCTCCGGCACACAAGCATGGCTTCCAACCTGCACCGATGCACAGTCAGATACTATTGCGCCAGCAAGCTTTTGTCCCGACTTTCAGGATCGGCTCGACTTCACTTCTTGGTTCCCCGATACCCAACCTTTAAACCCGTTCGGTTCTTATCGTTTTGTAGTAATCGGAGATTTTAACCTCTTATTTCCTTGGCTTATTTGGGAAGTAATTTCTGGCTATGAGCTGGCCGAGGACCGCGTTTGACAGTCAAGAACGGGTTCGGTTTTTCTTCAGACGTTGGCTGGAAGCCCTCTTGCACGGCAGAACCTGCCCAGCGCGGCGGCCATATGCCAACAGTAATTTGCCTTTAGACGTCATGATCGTGAACCCATCGGCTCGTTCCTAGTCAAAGAAACCTTGGTCCACGAAGAATTTGTCGAGGCTGTCGCTCCCCATGGTGTGCGAACTGACGGCAGCGATCCTGAACCCCGTGAAGCACCACCTGCGGCGACTACCGGATCTTCGCCGAGTCACCGAGCTGAGGTCTCATCGCAGGTTGAGCGGGCCCCTTCGGGGCGTCCTTCGGAACGCCCCAAGGTGATTGATGAATTGTCCATGGCGGACTCCTTCATTCTTTGAGGTTCTGAGAGGGTGGCGACTTGTGCAGGCCTCAGGACTGACTGCAGATGAACATCGCGACATTTTGGGCGAGCACCAAGAACAGCAAGGACCATGCAGTGATCTCTTCGGCCTTCGAAAATTTTTGTGATGATTCTTGGTGGTATGACAACTACTACGTGGACGAGACCACCTACGGCGAGGACTCATGGTGGACTGATGGTTGGTGGGACTACGATGCGCAGGCAGCGCAAGAGCCGGATCACCCCGGCTTGAAGGAAGAGTTGCAGGAGGCCCAACAGGCTGAACAGGTTGCCGAGAGCCTTGCAGCGGTCATCGTACTTGGGCCGAGGCCCAGAGGGTCACTCAGGAACTGAGAAAGGATGGGGGCTTTGGTGCCGTTCTTCAGCAGGGCACCGGGAAATGCTTCAACTGTGGAGGACCGCATCTTGTCCGACACTGTCCTGATCGACGAGGATATGGCTTCGGAAAGGGCAAGGACAGGCCTTTGCCATGGAGTCCGACGATTCATGGCTGTATTACACGAGCAAGGGCAAGAGCAAGTCGAAGGGAAAGGGCAAGAAGGGTCTTTGGATGCAGGCGCATGCTATGTGGTCAAAAGGCGAGGGCAAAACTAAGGAGCGGACTGTGAAGGCCTATTCCTCTGACCTCTTCCTCGGATACCCCGAGTTTAGTGGTTTGAACTGGCCACCAGTCACCAAGCACAGGCGACTTCGACGGCTCCTACGGAGCAACACGTCGGCATGATCGACTCAGGAGCCACAGCGTCGGCAGCACCAGAGGCAGTTGTGAAGGGTCTCATTAGTGCCATGCTCACCCAGGAAAAGGGAGCCAAGATTGAGTTTGACCAGTCAGCGCGGCCATACTTTCGCTTCGGGAACGGGAGATGGGGAAGGGCACTTTGTCGAGTACATCTTAGCAGTACCGTGTCGGGTCAATTGCGAAGCTTCTCTCTTTATACATTCTCCCGAACCCGGATCAGTACTTCAATAGCGGATTTGACAAGTCATCATTGGTTCCTGTACTGGTCCGCATGGATAGTCTTGGCAGGGAAGGCAGTGGAATCATGATAGACTTTGCCAGTGGCCTCGCAATGAACGACAAGGAACCTAGACCGTCAATCTATCCCTTGACTGTGGACAACAAGGGACACTACACCCTTGATAGCCTTCATCATCTAACCCAAGGTTACAAGTTGACGGAAGGACACGCACATGTGGTCGTTCGTTCAACTGATTCTGAGTGTACAAGTCGACGGGAGCCTTAGTTCTTGGAGTTGGGTACTGTTTGGTTTGATCTGACTGCCCTTGATGCTGAGCTAGATGAACGTGAGCTGCGACTTGCGAGAAATAGGATGTGGCAGTTGTAAAATGTTTCAAGCCCATCGGTCTCTTCCGCGTCTCAAGCACTGATGTGTGGACAGGTTCCGCCGGTAGCAATCCCGACTCCTCCCTCGTGCTCTATCGGTGATGTCGCTTTCGCAGCAGACTCCCGAGCAGGTGACCGCAGACCCCCGGGATCCTCACGGTACACAATGCCTATGTTCCGGGACGACCTTAACTAATCGACTCACTGCGCTGTGCGCAACCTGAGGATGGAGTACATGCCCCACCAGGGCAGCCACGGCCAAACGACCAAGGCCGACAACCGGGTGCCCGTGGCGAACATATGCCCGGCGATGCAGAGGAAGATCGATGCGGAGGAGCAGCTCAACACATTGATTCGGGAGTGGATGGCCGAGAACTCAGATGGTCGAGACTCACGGTGGACCAGGCCACACCGGCTTCCGCATCGACGGGAGCGAGGGCAACGACATCGACCCGGGCCAGTCGTCACCGGGAAGATGGGAAGTGACGGAGGCCATGAATCCCAACGGTCTGGACAGGGGCCACTGAAGAAATCCAATGGTGCAAACAGGGCGACGCGCAAGGACAAACGACATGCTGCTTTACTTCTACCTCTCTTCATGGGCAAGAAGTTGCTGGCAATGGCGACGTTGATGGCAGCTTCCATGTCACAGTTGTTGCTGGGTTTACACCAGGAAGGCTACGACGGGCTGTGGGAAAGTTCCAGCGCAGCACACAGTTGGATGAGCGATGCCGCTGAGCAACAAGGACTACGATCTCGGAGAAACAACCTACGGCATGGCTACGACGTCTACAAGAAGGAGACATGGACTCGATTGCAACAACTTCGTCGTCTACAGCATCCCAGTCGGCCCGTCGGATATGGATGTCGCTACCCTGTACGAAGTGGTGTTCATGGTCTACTACCAGATACAAGGATGAAAGTCGAGGAGTTCAGTTTGGAGACTGAACGACGCCGTGAGCGTCGCATGCTCTGGGAGGCCGTGAACTTCATTGTGGAAGCCTTGGACGAGGACCCCTCTTTGAAGGTGTACTTTGTGACTGGCCACATCCTTGCAGCGGATGGCGACACCAATGCTACACCTGGAACAACAACTACAACATCGAGGCGTTGATAGGTTATCGTGCCGCATTGACGGGTGTCGCTACGATCTCAAGGATGCCACTGGTGATGGGTTTCTTCAAAAGATGTGGCTGGTGAAAACTACCGACGAGATGTTCCATCAGAACTATCGAGCCAAGGTCTGCGTCGGCACCCGCACGCACTCACGTCTGACATCTGGAGGGCCAGGAGATGACGCGGATCGCCTATTGGGCCTATTATACCCTTGGAAGTTGGTGCAATCATTCTCCCGGTTCTGGTGTGATCAACATGGGCCACGGCGACATGTTCGTCTACTACGTCAACACGCTGAGCCAGATGAAGTGGAAGAGGTGAGCGTGGATCCATGGACTTTAGGCAGTCATCGGAAAGGAGGATGCCGACAATAACGACATGCTCGAGGTGATGCTTGGCCAAGCTGCTGTGCTGGATATCAATGCGCATGCACGAAAGGCCATGGCTCGACAACGGTTGGGATTTGATGATTTTGAGAAGCTGTGCCACTTGATTTACAACTACCTGGGTGACGCTTCAAAAAAATCATCTTCGATGGGCACAGACACCCAGCCAACAGCTGTTTCTTTGTGTGTACTCGTTTGGTTCATTTGGCAGCCCGACCAACAAGACGGACACCTACAAGCAAGTGGTGATTTACATCATTTATTTCCTTCCACATCATCTGCCACAACAGAGTTGGACGATCGTCATCACCAATTTCAACGGCAGAGCTCTTCTATACAGGGACCATCACAACCTCAAGGAATCCTCCTGATGGTCACGAAGCTGTTGTGGTCGGAACTACGCGGTGGTGGAGGACAATGCGGACAACGACCTGTACGCGATGATGTTGTGACCCTCCTCGAGAAGCAAGTGGAAGACATAACGGCGTCTTGTGCACGGACTCTCCGGGCCGCTGCGATGCTGTGGAGAGAAATGAAAGGCCGCTTCTTGGACTGAGAAACATCCGTGCAGCATTCCAAGCATTCCAGCTTCGAGACAACTTACAACGAGCAGGATGTCGACTACGATGGCTGGCCTCCGACTTTGACCTCGCAGATGCTTTGACCAAGAAGGAGGAAGAGGCCCGACAAGGTCTTCTGAAGATGATGCGTGCAGGTCATTGGAGCGCTTTGGCCCTTCTTTTACGTCAGCCAAGAAAGGCAAGAAACCGGGCAAGAGTGCCTGGGAAGCCATGGACCGGTTCGTTCATAGGGGACGCCCTCGACGGAGCAATCACTGAGTTTCCTTTTCGGGCTGGTGCCCCCTTTCTTGGAGCTGAACTCGTTCTCTTGCGCCGGAAAAGAGAGCACAGCGCTCTTGAGTTCGCGTGATTGGGTTTTACCTTCTGCGATTGTGTTGAGCCCAATCAGCTACCAGTGCATCTGTGCTGCAGATTCAGAGCTTTAGGGTCTAGGTGTTTGGCTGTGTAACTTTCCCGGCCGACCCCGCACCATGCATATCCCGGGGCTGCATCGGGCAGTGCGGTTTCTTCGCTAGTAATGGTACAAGCAGAGCTTCAGTTGTCCTGGCTTGTGTCTCGGCTTAATATGTCAGTCGAATGGTTCAGCTTGTCTGACTCGCCGATCTTTAGCCTCTCAACTTCCCCAAAGCAATGAAAGACATTTGCCCGAGCACCTGGCAGTAACCCAGCAATCTCAATTGTTGAAGTATTGTGCCTTAATTATCATCTGAAAACTACGAAGCCCCCCCAGTGCGAGTTGGCGAATGCCAAAAACCACCGAGCACGGACTTAAACGAGCTTTGTAGGATTTTCGGACCTTGCAAGCACAGGACACCTGTGCGAGCGCCTTGGATGAGGCGGTCGAGCTCGTGGCTGGGATCGAGATTTGTTGGTCACGATTTTTCCCAACATTGTTTGAAATTTGAGATGCCTGTATAATTCCTAGAACCCGAAGCGCCGCCTCCGGGGTTCAAGTAAGTTCGGGCGATGGTTCACGAATAATTTCTACGGCTCTCCTGATCCTGTGACAAGAACCCGATCCAACTGACCATGGGTCTTTCTCGGCCTGCTAAGGGCCGGGGCCAATGCGTTATTGGCACTGCTTGTTTAAACCGGGGCTACACTCGAGTCTCTAGACTTGAACACGTCGGGGATCAAGCCGCCAGAGGATCTTCATTGGCATTGTCCTTGCCGGCTGATGCTTAGATGACACGGTGTGATGTTGTGCCACAGCGACCCTTCCATCAAAGGCTAACGCGTTCTTGCCGATCGGTTGCATGTCCCAACCCCAACGTAGATAATTTTGAAATCCAAACACCCTGAAAAGCAAGGGATGGCATTGGCGATCAGCATTTTTGACATTCCAGAATCCGAATGGCCCCAAGATGCACCCCTTGACCGGCCATGCGAAGCGGTCTTTCGAGCTGACATGAACCCTGAGTCGAACCCCATATAGACTCCCAACAGCGAGCCCTAAAGGAACCTTTGCCGGCTGTGTAGGAGCGGTGAAAGTCGAAAACCTTCGGGACACACCCAAGAAATGCATATTAGGCGAGAGTAAAGCTCAAAAGGTGGCCCGAGATCTTAGTCTTTCTCCGAGCGGGGTCGACGATTTCCTCGAGGATGGCACTCTTGGTTTGGACACACAGCTTGGGAGCTGTAGGGTGTTGGGATGCTGGAGCTTTAGGATCTTGGAGTTCAGGGCTTTGAGGTTGCTGTTTTGGGGCTTTCGCGTCTTGGCTTTTGGGCTTCGGGGTCTGCAGCCGAAGGGTTGGCACCTAGGTTCCTAGTCAATTCTCGCAGGGGTTTGCAGCAGGCCAGCGTGTGCCAGCTCAGTATATGACATGTATGGGGCATCGAGTGTAGAATTTGGATGTTTTTCTTCGGCTTTCTGCTTATATCGACAGGTCTCCACAAGCAAGATGCACAAGCGCGGGCTTCGGCGTTATTATGAAACGTTGTGAAGCTCGCATGAGCTATGGAGCCTCGTGAAGTTCGCAACCCAAGAAGCCGAAGCATCTCCCATATCCCGGTGGCATTGTTTGCAACGGGAGGTTCAATGTCCACAAGTCACAAGCCCCAAGAAGACTGAATCGAAGAGACCGCCACATCTGCACCATGTTTCGCAGGCCTACCATATCTGCCGCAGCAAGGGCGCAGGAGGTGTGCGGCCCTTCGACGAGACAAGTGCAAACCAGCTGAGGGCGGCATCTCAGGTGTGGAGTCTAGAGCGGCATTTCACACGTATCTAGTTTGACTGCAGCTTTCATCTTTGGTTTGTTTGGGCATCGTGAGATTGCATTTCAATTAGAGGCTAGAGGATGTGTATGTCCGAGGTGCGATTCTGCATTCCACAATCGTTCAGCTACTTATTTCGTTCCTTTCGTTCCTCTCATTGAAAGTTATATTGGCTTATTTCAGCATCAAGCCGTCTGGCCGCATGACCTCGGCAGTATGATTCAGGAAGTGGGAAGTACAGAGGAACGGTGCTCAAGCGATTTTCACTTTACTCCGCTGTTCTAGCCGGACTTGTTGCAAAGGTCCATTGCCAACACCACGCTTTGCAAGGCTACCCGACTGCAACAGCATGCTTGCAACATGAATCTGCTAATGCGGAAGTGTTCCTGTCCATGCGCGGGAAGATGCAGCTGCCCAGGTCCTTTACCAGCACAAAGCACAGGAGCCGGGATGGGGTGGCAGTCGTCGGTGCCCATGTTACAGAAGTCCTCAAGCCTCCAGCTACAAGCACGCAGTATCCCCAAGCCCGGTTGGAAGACGACGATGCAGCAACTGGCTTGGGCTTGGCAAGTGAGCACCACTGGACAGCTGCACCGTATGCCCCATGGCAACTTCTATGATACTTCAGATTCGCTCAACGTCCGCCTACCCTTACCCCTTACTGAGCCCTACTGGAAGGTCTGAGTCTAGTCACGACGAGCCTGCGGAAAGAACTGCAGCAGGAGCCCCTGACACTCCAAGAGGAGTCGGCCCTTTACCAGGCAGGCTCATGTTTTTGGAACGGAAGTCCAGTGCCTGAAGGCCTTCTAGCAGGTTCTAGCAAGCCTCAACTGTAAGATGTTCGAAAATACTTTCACCGCACTGGTTTAGTTTTTGACTTGGAGCTTTCAGATCACCGTTAACAACCGTCTTGTATTTGGGAAGTCTCTTTCCAGAGCTGCTCGGAAGAACACCCGGCTCTCTTTCTCTCTCTTCTCGCTGTACATAGCATGTAACCAAACACTATACACACAGTGCAAGAGAGAGAGAGAGAGAGAGAGAGAGAGAGAGAGAGCGCGACAGACAGCCACAGAGCGAGAGGAAGCGGGCCAGAGCGCGGACACTGCTTGTCAGTCAAGTAGCGGCGAGCAACACAGAATCGACATTTAAGTCACTTGTCCCATGGTAAAAATATACGAAAGCAACATTAAACAACCGCAGTAGCAAGTCATGCTATCGCTGGAAGACGGGTTTTGGGTACGTGGTGGAAGTTTAAGCAGTAAAGGGTTCCGGTGAGGTAGGCCTTCGCCTTAGCCCCTGGTGAACCGCTGAAGCTGTCAGAGTTTTTTTGCCGTTTGGCGCTTGAGTTGCTGCGATCTCCCACTCAGGGGTAATGGGCACACGGATTCTGCTGGTTGGGCCTTGGCCCTGGTTTACGAGCAAGAAACTCCCTGAGTCTCAAGCTCACCCCCCAGAAACACGTCACCCTAAGCCCCAGAAGTTTTGAGGCGGAGAGAATTTAGATTGCTCTGGCCAAAGTGCTTTCGTCGTACCAGGAACCTCGCCAGGCTTGTCCCAGTTGTGAATGCTGAAGCCCCTAAAGTCCTAGCTGTAAAACATTGGTGGGGCCGGCAGGTTTTCAAGGAAATGCTGGGTCCGCCCGGCCCTTTGCGCCTCGAGGAGCGTCTTGGCTGTGAAAGG